ACGAAAGCCTTGGTTTTGCGAGTTGTCGTAATACATGCAGGTTCGATGTAGATGCAACCACCTCCGTCTACGATCTACCTAACCTCCCTTGGCCATGACAGGTTTGACATTCCCCATGATCGATACATGCACAGGTTGCTCTACCACCTGGGAGCCTAGGCTCTTGAGTTCGATGGTACCAAAATAGACACCCCCACTTGTCCTTGGACTGAAAAGGGTCGATCAAATACATATCGCACATATGTCAACTGAAATGGTGATAACTATAGAATGCTAAGCAACTAGTCATCATTCATTGCTGACTCAGTGAAAAGAACAGCCTTTTTTCATACTCATACTATGACTTATGGATCATCTGCAGCTAGACTGGAGCCGACAAGCCATTCTATACTTAATTGGATAGATAGAGGAGCCGATCGTTCGGGGCACAGCATGGACCAAAGTACCTGGTGAATATCACTTGGAAAAGTACCAATCTACTTTCGGTTAGGCAGATTCCTTGCCAGCCATGGAAGTCTGACCTGGACCTGAAAGTGAGAGCGGCTCGATCAAGATGTAACTAACAAACCCGACTAACATCCAGAAGAGACCAGATTGTGGTGACTGTTTACCTCCGGTTCATGACTATACTTTCTAGATACATAGACAGATTGATTGTTATTCGTCTTTGTGCATCGGCTGTGGACAGGCATTGGAGGATAAGTTTCCCGCCCCTACGCAAGTAATGTATGAATTCCTTGTTGGAAAGCTGAAACGCAGGCTCAAGGCTGATCATCATGACATCTTGAACATCTTGACACCCTCATTGCTCAGGAGGGTTCATGATAGGTCCATAGAGAGATGGATGGTCCTGGAGAACTTGAAGTGGCGAGGGACCCGCGCATTCACTCTTTTCCCTCCCACTTCCATCCCTGCACAAACATGGGAATTCCTCTATGAATCCTTCTGGTCTTTCCTCCCCATCACTCACTTCCTCCCCACCCCACCCGACTGACTCTCTTTGCTGCATGGAGGTTTCTTTCTTCTCTGCTGGATTTTTGTCCCTTTGTCCCGCCGATCTAGGTTGCCTATTGGCCCGAATTAAATATGACACGTCCAAAGCTGCGGCCCACTTGTCGCGCTCCACAATGTTATTGTCGCCTATTTGCCACTCTGGGGAACGGTCCAGATTCCAGCAAAGGACGACGAGGGAGCTGCATTAACACTTGAACTCACCAACCAAGCTGAGAATCTCATAGATTCTGACCCTCTGTGCAGCATACATGTGGCTTGGTTGCTATGGTGCCCGGGGAGCGAGCTTGTCACAGGGCTATATCGTTTGAAAAGGTTAGCCAGAGCGCGAGTCGCGCGCGCGCATTCTTGCGTCCACGGTGAATAGAGATTGTGTCACTCAGCATAAGCGTCTCGGACTTGCTCGTCAACGACTGTTCTGTCGGCTTACCGGTCATGGTCATTTGTCAAGATGGCAATGAAGCAAGAAGTGAGACACTTTCTTTGTTTCTCGATAACAGCAATATTGTAGGGCTTGCTGTCATGCATGTCGTATGTTCCCACTATGCCTCTATCTGCCGACCCAACTCCAATTGCCGGGATCGTAACCTGTCGCTAACTTGTGTGTCTTTGCGCCACAGGTCAACAGACCTGCGTCTTCAACAATTCTCGGTAGCTCCATCACCCTGGTACTGTCCTCTGGACCCGGCTGGTAGATTTGGAATGCGCTATGAGGACTGAGGGAAGTCTCACTTGCCATTAATTGCTGGCGTCGCTGCAATGATGATCGATTTTGTTCTTCGTTACCTGAACACTATGTTGGAGCCATGCATACTATTACCGGTTTACCGATGCTTGGAGTAGGAAGGGGAGGTTTTGCTGGCTGGCTATTATGGCTACTTTTACAACCACGGCTTTACTCTGAATTCTTCAGCATGTGACTGCATCGATGCCTTCTCGAGACGGTGTGCAAACGAGACATGCTGTCCTGCATAGTCCACCACGATGCTACCCGCGAAGGCAACTTCTCCCAGCCTAGGGACCACCGAGTCTTCAAAGCCTGCCCCCTGCCCTCAGACTGGTGTTGGAATTTGAGCGTAGAAAAAAACGTCAGAGAGATGCGAGCGCATTTCGATATGAGGGTCCTGCGGTCGCAGACGAGAGCCTTTGCCATTTGGCCGACATGTATTCATCTTTCACGGCAGTACTCCGTATGTACATACACAAGATTGCTTACCTTTTTCCAAATCAGGGTTTGTGGAAGTCTGGATCGACGTTCTGCAACAAGCCCATGTTATAGAGTGATTGCAAAAATCGACTTGCTTGAGTATACTCAGGTGTTGCCACTGGCATGGGCTTTTTCACTGCCCATTTAGAAGTCAAAGGTTTGTGGGTATTTTCTGTGTCGTGCACATCCCAGGTACTCATGGTTGCAGATTACTCCGATATATACCTGTCATTGCAACGTGAGCATCGTGTACACGCTGGTGGGTATTCAGTGGCCTGATTGCTGTAAGATAAAACTTTTATTCCGTGTATAATCTCATATAAGTTAAAATTGACGTCCGAGGATGACATTCCAATCACAAGTAGTGATGAGTTGGCTAGCTGCTATACAAACGAGAAGCACACCCGCGCAAATAATGTAAGCGGAGAAAAGCTCCAAGTAGACCTTATCATCATGTGCCGATAACGTCACATGATCGTCAGTTTTCCTTGCCCACGACACTGAAGTCATCGACCATTGCCTACCTCCAAGCACACATCACAAATCCGCAACTGGATTCATAGTTCTTTCAAGCCAAGGAGAATATGAATCGCAACTGACTGTGCAATCTCTTCAATCACAAGTGTGAAGTGTTTGTCTGACAATGAACAATATCCGCTAGTACTTTCGATCGCTCATCATGGCCGCTCAACGAACATGCATCCTACGCTCATTTCCACTTTCAGGCGTTCAGCGGTCGGCCCGACTACATCAAACACCCATCGCATTAGCTCGCGTGCTGAGGCATTGTCAACGACACAATAGCACCAACTCTGATTCACAACGGCTCGTAAGCCAAGCCACCGTGCCCGACCAACAATCTCTTGAAACCTCCCATCTCAATCCGCTACCGGACGATTACTCCCGGTTCATATTCCAAGACAAGTGTCGCTCGACGATATGGTCAGGCTCAGGCGGAGATGGGTGCGTCTCGTTTCTTCGCGAGAAGTATGTCGAGGAAGGCCCACCGAACGGTGGCGACGGCGGCAGCGGTGGGAGCATCTACATCCAGGCCGTTGAAGGCTTGACCAGCTTACACAAGCTCGCCCGGAGAGGCGTCATCAAAGCGGGACGAGGCAAAAACGGACAGGGAAAGAGCAAGGGCGGCAAACGCGGCGAAGATGTACTCCTCCAGGTTCCTGTGGGTACCGTCGTACGCGAAGTCGATCGGTACGACCCGGTCGCGGAGGAGGAACTACGGCAGCGACACGAGCGCATGAAGGGCTCTGAAGAAGCGGAGGAGGAGCAGGAGGAGCAGGAGTTCGGCATCACCTCGATTCGCCGCGATCGCTGGGTTTTGTACCCCGGAGCCAATCCGTCCGATTATTTGACCACGGTATTTCCGAAAAGTTCGCCGCGGCGGCAGCACATCGCGTCCATGGAGCCCAAACAGCCCATCAGTCTTGATCTCTCACACCACATGGATAAACCGATGCTGCTTTCGGCGGGTGGCGTGGGAGGGATGGGCAACCCGCACTTCGCGCACCGCGCAATGAGCCGACCGAAGTTCGCGTCCAGAGGGGAAGGTGGCAAGCGTCTGGAGCTTGAATTCGAGCTCAAGCTCCTTGCGGATGTTGGGCTGGTGGGGAAGCCCAATGCTGGAAAGAGCACTTTGCTACGCTCATTGACCAACAGTCGCACACGAGTCGGGAACTGGGAGTTCACGACGCTTGAACCAAATATTGGTACGGTTGTCATCGATAATCACAAGGGAAGACCTCTGGTCGAATTAGAAGGCAGGAAGCCGCGGACGAATTTCACGATCGCTGATATACCGGGTCTGGTCGAGGGTGCTCACCTTGATCGCGGCTTAGGATTGGGATTCCTGCGACATATCGAACGCGCTGGTATCCTGGCGTTCGTCGTCGATCTCAGTGCCGGTAATCCCATTCAAGGTCTCAAGAATTTATGGCTTGAGCTTGGTGAATATCAACGGATGCGTGAAGCAGAACATGCTTTGAAACTAGAGGAACTTGCATGGCCTGCACCAGTAGACGAGCTACCGGATTTCTTCTCGTCGGAAGAAGCGCCGGAACCTACTTTCGTGGTTCCTGACACTAGTTCCACCAGTCCCAAGCAAGACCTCAATCCCCTCCCGGAGCTTAAAATGCCACCGATCCATACCAAGCCTTGGTTTGTCGTGGCCACAAAGGCTGACCTCCCAGAGACTCAGGAGCAGTTTCGGGCACTGCGGGACTATCTTGCCGCGGTGGAAAAGGGCGAGGCTGATCACCCGGGTGGCTTGCAAGAAGGGTGGAAAGAAAGAGTCTGCGCTGTTCCCGTGAGCGCCATCAAGGGTGAAGGAGTTGCCCGCATTCCCCGACTAGTGATGGAACTGCTGGGTTGATTGCGTGACTGACAGAGGCTTATATGAGTGTCTGTGCAGAGTATGTCGAGCACAGCACGCTATTTGGCTGGACGCATGTATGTAAATATAGAATCAGTAAATGGAAACCTCAAGTTATGCCAATTGTTTTCCTTGCTTGCGACTACACTATTTCTGCTATCCATTACGCTTTTCTCCTAAGCATTGATCATATATCTTGCTTCCAGTGCGATGTACTTCAAAGTCGAAGACCGCTGTCTTTGCACACAAGGCCGTGTTGAGTGTCCCCGCATGACGTCGGGTCACCCCCCGTCAAGGAGAAAAAAGGAAGTTGCGGGAAACATTCATCATGGGCGCTGGCCCACCGCCAAAAGAAATACAGAACAAAAACATCCTCCACCGTTGGCCAGTGACCATTTCTATCCTTCGCTTTGATCGCAATACATTTATCACAAAAGGAATATCTTGATTGTCATGAATGCCTCACTTTCAAAAGTCATCCTCCACGCAATCACGTCCATTCGGAGAGTTGACGAGGACGATCCCGTCGTGAGATGCCGCGCAGGTCGTTCAAAGGACCTCTCCAAACTATTGCTACAGGACCCCGAAGGTGCAATCAAGGAAGCAGATTCCCACCTACGCGTCTTCCCCTTCAAAGATGTAGACGTGTGCTGGCGTCGGCTATACACGGACGCCAGCATCTTGAAGGCCTGTGTCAATGTCTGCGCCAATCTCGTATTTCCTGCCGCGGCCCCTTTGGACGAGTCCTATTATTACCGCCTACTTTATAGACTTAGGAACCATGCAGGCGACGAGGACATTCGCATCAAGTCCAACGCTCCGTGGCTTACGCCCACTATACACCTACTCGACCGAGCACTGATCATGACTGGCGCGCCACGGCGCGAGAATCTTATCGAGACCCTGATCAATGCCCTCCAGGCATCCACTCGATCTACACTGCAGCATGCAGCCCCTAAACAGACAGAGCGCAATTCGCTCTTCTCCCCGGATGCAGCAACAGCACCTCAAATAAAATATCCCATTCCTCGCGTCTCAGCGCTGTCGTTCGAGCAGTTCAAAGCGCATATCTACACATCTCGAACTCCCCTGGTAATCACTGATGCAGTGGAACACTGGCCAGCCCTAACGACCCGGCCGTGGTCTTCCCGTGCTTACTGGGCTGATCGCACGTTCGATGGTCGAAGACTCGTGCCCGTGGAGATCGGTAGAGCTTACACGGATGACGACTGGGGCCAGCAGATTATCCCCTTCAGCGAGTTCGTCGACGATTATCTGGATCGGGACCGAAATCAAGATGGCCCCACCGGTTATCTGGCACAGCATGACCTGTTGGCCCAGATTCCAGCTCTACGGAACGATATCTGTATCCCTGATTACTGCTATGTCGATCCTCCGGGACCGGAGCCGGGTACACCCGTGTATCTGAAGAAGCGGTTGGAAGCGGAGGAATCCAGGAAAAGAAAGGCTGAGCAGGGAGCAACTATCACAAACACAGAAATGTATGCTTCGGCGCAGGTTGATGCTGGCGCTGTGGAGACCGGATCCGCAAGCGATGACTCTGTGAACGATGACTCCGGTGGTCCCTACATCAATACCTGGATCGGTCCGTCGTGGACCATTTCACCACTGCACCATGATCCGTATCATAACATCTTTGTTCAGGTAGTGGGCGCAAAATACGTTCGACTCTACTCGCCTCATACGTCAGCCTCGCAAATCTATCCGAAGGGAAGGGAGGTTGTGAATCGATCATTGGACGAGATCTCCAATGAAGGCGATAGGCAAGCAGACATCCAACTTCAAAGGGAATTAATTGCATCCATCAACGCAGATGACTCTTTATCACCAGAGATGGCCGCGAGGAAGGATGAGCAGGCTCAAGCGATTGACATGTCGAATACCTCGCAGGTGGATCTGGCAGCCATTGAAATGTCCCCGGCCGAGGCTGAACAGTGGGAGGACCTATGGCCGGGATTCCTGCAGGCAGAGTACGTCGAGACGATCATCAAGGAGGGCGAGTGCCTGTATATACCTGTGGGCTGGTGGCATTATGTTCGTAGCTTACACGGGGGTATCAGCGTTAGTTTTTGGTGGGAGTAGTCAGTTGCCCCTTATGCCTAGATCGATAGATCGATAGCGAAAGGACAATACAGATTATATCAAGCGCACTAAAGGATCAAAATGTAGCAGGTAGGAATACCCTAGACCTGACAGCTCCCAGATTTACCTTTGGTGTTTGCTGAAGTCAATCGTCATAAGTATCATCCAGGAGCAACAGCGGATAATACTTTCTACTGAGAGTGGGAGAATGTAGGATATAAGGCGCACTGCGACCCAAAAGAGTCAAAATAGGTCGACACATACAAAGAGATAGTGAGATAGGTAGATAGATAGATGGATAGTGGGGTGGTCAGCAAAGTTCGGTGTCAATGTGGAGCAAAGGTGAGGCCGAGTCAGGATACCAAATTGGGCAGCAAATAATGAAGCCGGGTTCAATGAGTTGGCGGCGGTAAATGGAGGACTAGAAGGAAGCCAACCTTAACAAGTCCCAACTAAGGGCCAAGTCGCCTACCCAAACTAACGTTAGTCGAGGTGTTGCCCAGGCTCTTTTTTCGTTCTTGTGTACTACTACTACCCCGGAGTTCCTTTGGTCCAAGCGTTTGACTCTGGCTCTTTCTATCCAGTTTCTCTGTGTCTCCCTCTCCCGCCTGCAAGCAATACATCGATTTCACCGATATACCTCACTCTCAAGTCCAACGTATGACTCAAGAATCGATTGAAACGAGCTGAGGTCGAACTGTGCTCCGTCGATCCCTCCAATACTGTCTCGTCTCGTGTAGTCTTCCTTGCGTGCCTTGCTTGAGGTTTCTTTCTTTCTTTCTTTCTTTCTTTCTTTCCTTCCTTCTTTTGATCTGTGAAAATACTTCATCTGGATTCAACTGTGCTATATTTACAATAGCTCTGTCTAGCTCTGTCATTCATTCGTTCTTTCCTTGCTACCTCAAATAGCCACCTCGAATGTTCGGTCATTGTGGAGTCAGAAGTGGATGATCGCATTGTTGCTCCGGGAGATCATGTTGGCTCGGGACGCTTTATCGCGGCGCGCTGTCCGATAGGGAAAAAAGTTCCTGTTGAATTTATTGAATCGCCCATCAAGGAGTTTGCCCCCAGCCTTGGACTAGAGACGCAGGAGGTAAGTAGTTATGTCTTGTGCTGCTACATATATTGGAAAATTTACCCAAGGGCTGGGCTAATCCTGCATGGCACCAACTAGGGCCTTTTAAGGCTAATCAGCGACGATTTGATTGCTTTGTTTTTGTCCCTTTTCCCCTCAGCAACCTCCGAGCCGACAGAACTCGACTTCGATCCCTCGTTTGCAAACGATCGCTGAACCGTTCCACTCTCCTCTCTCCTTCCATATATCTCTAGTCGGTCCTTTACCGCTCTTTTACTTGGAGGGCCATTCGAAATCTAGTCCTTTGCTCGCCGCGAGAGGTCATGTGTACAGCACGGTCAAACCTTGGCGTGATTCTAGTGGCACACAGTCCTTCGGCGAGAAGCAAACAATTGCAGGCCCGGCCGTCCTCTCAAGATGGTTAAGGCAGACGTGCGGAGAGACTACTACGCCGACCTGGGTCTCACTCCCAGTGCAGAGACGGAGGATATCAAGCGGCAATTTCGAAAATTAGGTGGGAGCAAGGCCATATTGTCCATCTGGCTAGGAGTGCTTTATTAACCTTTGACAGCTTTGAAGTACCATCCTGATAGGAATCCTGGCCGCGAGGTGGATTTCATCGCCAAGTTTCAGGCCATCCAAGCGGCTCATGAGATCCTCATCGACCCCCAACAACGATTGCGGTATGACACGGACCGACTGCGCGCTGGGTACGGCAAATTCTACGGCCCGGCTAAAAGCACCACACCGCGAAAGACGACTTCCACCCCTCAATCCTCCACATATTCCCCAAAGCCTGCACCTACGAAGCCACATGCTACGACACGTCCACAGTCCTTCCATGCGGGGCCCTCGAGCGGCGCCCAACGGTATGCCAGCTATGCACGCGCGGCGCCGAAACAGCCATGGGAGAAGGCGCACGATGAGGGACAGACAAGGGCCGACGCATATCGAGGATTCCAGGACATGAAGGGAAACGGCATGCCGGGCGGATGGTCATCATTTGACCCCCGGACCGGACACGCGGGATACAACGGAGCTACGCCTAGACCCACCAAGGCGAATGCGCAGTCGGCAAGGCCCAAGTCCGCTTTCGAGTACTTCAGGACATCCAATAAGTCGGAGAACCCAGAGGCTTCACGGGCCCAAACCAAGAAGAAGAAGCAGGGGTTCGCTCCGCACGCCGCGGGCGGCGATGAGCCTATGGCTACACACACTTCCTCATACACAAGTCGAAACGAGCGCTCACAGACTTCGAATGCGTACTTTGGAGCTGCACCGTCGCCGACGGCAAAGAAGACTGCCACTAACCGGACAGATACGCCGGAATTCGAGCGAATGAGAAGCAGGTATGCTAGCGCTGGAGGAGAGAGAACATTCTTTGACAGCGCCAACCTCGGGCGCTCTGCGAGTACGCGGGATTCCACTGAAAGTCCCAAACCTCGCTCCCGGACCAACCCACCCAGCCCGTCTCCCCCCGAAGGTGGACGTTATCGTAGCGCTAGCCCGAAATTCAAAGCAGATAAGAACACAAACTATTCGTTTACGAGCAGTTCTAGTGATCTTGACGAGGACGATGAGGAAGAGTTTCTGGCACGGAAGCCTAAGGCGGTCCCCAAAAGCAGGCTGCACCCTCACAAGAAGTTCACTGCTTTTCATACAGAGCAGACCCCGGGGACCGGGTTCGGTAAGTTTCGCCTCTTCCACAGAACTGTGCTGTGGTGATTCGTAAGCTAGCAGAAGGATGTTTTACAAGCTTTCATGAGTGCTAATGATATATGTGAGTAGGGTCGACCACAAACGATACCACGTCAGCAAACAGCCCCTTCGATATGCCTAATATCTTCGGCTTTCACAACCCACTGAACTCGTATGTGGTACCCTTGGGTGACCCATGAATCTCTGAACTGACGACTTCTGGCGCATAGACAACAAGAACCCGAGCAGAATGGCGTCCCGCCAAACAGAAGCTTCAAGAGCAGCAGTCATGAGCAGTTGCGAAACACATTCCTTGCCGAGAACTGGAATGGAGCCGCTTTCTTCGATGGTGGTGCTCAGAATCAGGATGGACGAGGACGATCAGCGACTCGAGAGGAGACCGAAAGGAAAGGACACTTTGCCGATGCGCCCAATCATGACCATGAGGGACCCATTCCCGAACCAGAGCCTCAGCCGACTTCCTTCGCCCAATTTGGGTTCCCTGCTGATCAATGGACCGAGATGTTCAAGAACATGTCATTCGAGCCGAAGAATGGAGGGTCTCAGCAGACACAGACGGCCTCTGCCCAGCGACAGAGAAGTCCCCGCAAGCAACGGACGGCGACCAAGACGCGGCCTAATCCTAAGCCAGCTACTGTTACGGCCGAAGCTGACGAGATACCAACAACTACGAACGGAAATACCACCCCGGAAACAGCCAAAGCGGGGGATGCGGGCGTAGAAGCAATGGATCTCGATGACACGCCACCTCCCATGACCACGGAAAGATCAGATGAGACGAAGAAAGTCAAAAAGACAGTGCCAGCTTCAAAGGAAGAGCAGAAAGAAGAGAACGCCAAGAACTTCAATCTCGAGGACTTGAGCAAGACGGTTCCTCTCACACAAACCACAAACGGTGGCATCGAAGACCTTCAGGACATCCATGTTACTTTGCCGTTTGAGTCTCGTGCCAATTTCCCCAAGACGACGGTGCGCAACGCCCGTCCTCGCGACTTGGACCTGCCTCGACCGCCAAAACGGCCGACTGTGCCTGAACTGATCCCTCTCAGTGCGGGCTCTGCGCAGATGGGCTTATCTCGCGCAGCTTGGGAGCGTTACACCGCAGAAATGGCGGTATACACGTCTGATTGGAATGCCTTTAATCGTCGCATGCTACAGCATTTTAATGCACGCCAGGAGGCCACCGAGACGGGTATGGCTCCAAATTGGATTGGTGCTATTGGGGATGCGGCCAAGGTCAAGCTAGACCCAGAGGACGGACTAGACGGAGCAAGCAGTGACACCATGGTGGCAGGCAGCGCAAAGGGGGGTTACAACGCGTACAAGCTCGCGTTGGATCAGGATCTTAGGGTCTGGAAACACTGGGAGGTGGCGCGGGAATTGCACTACGACTGCATCGCCAAGCTCGGAGACTTACGCGATTGGGTCATGTCGGGGGGGAAGATGCTATAGAGATCAACAGGCAGAGTATGACTTATGAGGTTTTGGGCCACATTTCAGCATCACTCTCGGCGAAGGTCGCACGCACGCATGCATTGGTTTAGGGCGTTGGCGTTATAGTGATTGTTAACTAGTTGATGATATCCCGTGTATCATATTCTGCCAAGGCCATGGAATATCCTTGGAAGCGTATTTGAATTGCAACCTTTGATTCCAACTCCAGCTCTCGGTGATCCCGCTGTTTCTTGATATTCAAACCCTATTGTATTTGTATCATGATTCGTGATCTGCAGAGGCCCTACTTGCCAGCCCCGAGCCCCAAGCCCTAACTCTATCCCGATACCGGTCGGAAGTCCCCGACTAACCAGTGGGAAAGGATGAGAGCACTGGGCTCCCGAGCAGCAAATACCGCATACGGCGGGGTCTCCCGCCGCGGGGGCTAGAGACGGTAACGTGAAATTACCGGCAAACGGGGGCATGATGCCATGAACCAGTGCGGGTGGCACAGGTTGCTGGGGTACGGTATGGTACCAGGTGCCCGCGGTAATGGCCACGCACCGATCGAGGAGTCACCGGCAGCCCCGCCCAGCAGGTTAGTGAGAGACCGAGAGTGCTATATATCATCTTCCCCTCCGCAGACCTTCCCCTCCGTTTCTTTTTTTTCGGCTTTTTGGTCTTTGACGGTCGCGAACTCTTCGCCGCTGCTCCAGTCACCTCTGGTATACGTTGGAAATCCTCTGGTGTTCTTTAACATTTTACCACAACAATCAACCCTTCTTCGACAGAATCCCCTTTTTTCTGCCAGTCCAACTGACGCCGGATTCATCCGTTGACTCATCCGTATACCCACTATCGTGCCCCGCCTCCAGACGTTCCTCCCTCCATCTCTGTCCCTTGTTGCAGATTCACGGAGTCCTCACGATCGAAGTATTCAATTGCTTTTAGATCTTCAGTAATCACAAAATCAATCAACAAATTCACAATGGGTGTCACAATTGTTCTTGGTAGCCAGTGGGGTGATGAAGGTGAGAGAAAACACCGCTGCCAGTCTGCATTGCCTGCGGTATCCACTCTGCCAGCAATGAATGCACGCTGACATCAGATTGATTGAAAACAGGAAAGGGAAAGATTACGGATATGCTCGCGCAGGAAGCTACGCTTTGCTGCCGTGCCGCTGGCGGCCACAGTAAGTGTTCCCCCCCCCCCATTACTTGTCACAGTTCTCACTTGTTTTTTTTTTTTCTGTCACCTTGCAAACGCGCTCACCGGCGATTGACGGGAATACAATCTAACTATGGACGCACTTAGACGCGGGCCACACTATCGTTCATGGCTCTACGACTTATGACTTCCACATTCTTCCTTCCGGACTGGTCTCCCCTTCTTGTGTCAACCTCATTGGCGCAGGAACTGTGGTGCACGTCCCCAGCTTCTTCAAGGAGCTGGCGGCTATCGAGACTAAGGGTCTGACCACCGCTGGAAAGCGTATCTTCATCTCGGACCGCGCTCACGTTTGCTTCGACCTGCACTCCGTTGTGGATGGCCTGGAAGAGGCCAAACTCGGTGGTCGCAAGGTCGGCACCACTGGTAAGGGTATCGGTCCTTGTTACAGTGACAAGGCTGCTCGTCGCGGTGTTCGTGTCGGCGAGATCTTGGACGAGGCTCTTTTCGAGCGCAAATTGCGTTCCCTGCATGCGGGATATACTGCCCGTTTTGGCGACTTGGATTACGACGTTGAGGAGGAGCTTGCGCGTTTTAAGGTAGGCTTTTGTTATTGCTGGAGCGTCGTGCGGGCGATGATGCTGACGGCCCGTTCATAGGAGTACCGCCAGCGCCTGGGTCCCTACATTGTCGACCAATTGGCCTTCCTGCAGAAGTACAAGGATGCCTCCAACACTTTGGTTGAGGGTGCCAATGCTCTGATGCTTGATCTGGATCACGGAACCTATCCCTTCGTGACCTCGTCTTCGACCGGCTTGGGTGGTGCTGTCCAGGCTCTGTCCTTGAACCCCACCAGCATCACCTCTATCATTGGTGTTGTTAAGGCTTATACCACCCGTGTCGGCTCGGGTCCCTTCCCCAGCGAACAGCTGAATGAATTTGGTGACAAACTGCAGGGTGTTGGTAAGGAGTTTGGTGTCACCACCGGTCGCCGTCGTCGCTGTGGTTGGTTTGACATGGTCCTCTGCCGCTACTCGCAGGCCATCAACCACTACACTGCTCTCAACCTGACCAAGTTGGACGTTCTGGATGACTTTGACGAGATCAAGGTCGGTGTTGCTTATATCCTTCCTGACGGTACCCGCACGGAGAACACCATGCCTGCCGATCCCGAGGTCTTGGAGAAGGTCAAGGTCGAGTACGTCACTCTCCCCGGCTGGAAGAGCAAGACCATGGGCATCAAGAAGTATGAAGATCTGCCTCCCAACGCCCGCGCCTATATCGAGTACATCGAGCGCGGTCTTGGTGGGGTCCCGGTCAAGTGGATCGGTACCGGCCCTGCTCGTGACGACATGATCTCCCGCGAGTAGATTCCGCGGTTTGGTCATTGAACCGGTTGGTTGTTTTATTCTCATCTTCTCGTATAATATCCTCAAGCACCCAGTACCATTATTTTCTTTACCATGTATGTTTCTACTCTGGATTATTTGTACTATTGTCTACTATGGTAAAACGGTAGACGGCTGGGTCGCAGATTAAATTTAGAGTACAAAAATTCCATCTCATAGACATTTTCAGATTTGATCACCTGTAAAATAAGGCCAAGCAACGATGTATATTACGTGCTGGAATTTTTCCTGTTGGATGCTGGTCCTGATACAAGATAAAAGAATAGCATTTATAATTGCTAATGTCTAGACACGAAGTAGATATCCTTGCACTCGTGGCTCAGTGGTAGTAGCGTCGCACTTGTAATGCGAAGGTCATGGGTTCAATCCCCATCGGGTGCATCGCAGAGTCTTTTTGCTATTTTAATATCCTACATACATCTCCAGTCAGCGTCATACATCAGCATATACGGTCGCAGGGCTGACTTGTTGTTTTGCTTTTCTTTTTTGCATCATAATTGTTGAGACCAAGGTACATTCGATACGCACATGATCAATGAACCTGCGTCACAAGAGCTCAGGTACCTAGTAGCTTTTCCTCGTCGGCTGCTTCGGGAAACAAGAATGCTTTTGCGCCTGAGGCAGAAATATATGTCCAGTCTTTCGCAGAGCTTTCCCAGCAGCCACCCCATCCCCTCTCTATCGTCTTAGTTGAGGCGTTCTGTACCAGGCGCCAGAGCAGCCTAGATGATTATCAAGAAGGATAAGCCGATTTACCCCATCTTCCAGCATCATTGCGCATCTTCCAGCTGTAGATGGTATTGCCGGGTGTCGGCCATTTTCGGCTGGGCGGAGAGCGACGCACCAATCACGGACCTGACAATGTGATGACCGTTTCCCGATCGGACTCCCGAGGTTCCATCCTGAGCCTCGAGTCTCAACCTCAACTTCTTGTCTCGCTGTAGCGCCGTCGAACCGCGATCACCAATCCTCACCCTCCTTTTTCGTTGCAACCCGACTCTCCCCTCCTCGACTATCACAATGGCTTCAATTGCGCGCCAGTCGCCCCTCCTCCGGCAGTCCTGCCTGTCGGCCTTCCGCGCCCCTTGGGCCTCGAAGAATGCCGCCGGCGTGTCGCAGGTCGTGGCCTTCCACGCCTCTGCCAACAAGCAGATTCTGCCTCCTCTGCCTCGTGAGTCGCCCGTGATATACCTGAGAAAAAGTTTTGTGTGTGGTTGTTGGCTGTCCAAAAAGATTGTGCGGGGGTGTGGATGAGCTTTTGTGGGGGATGGACAATGGACATGGGGGCGATTGATCGGAACCCATGAAATAAATGTATGGTGATGCTAACGTATTCATGAAACAGAGTCCATCCAGGGAACCAGTATGTTATCCTATCGATCAACCTTTCTCGAGCCTGAAGTCGGTGTGCAATAAGAAGATAGTTTTGTTGGCCGTTGAAGAGCTTCGGGTCTATCGAAGTTTCTCTTTTCGAAACTCCGCAGCGCATCGATGACGACCACGGTCGGTTCGGAGGACTTAACTTTTCTAACGTCGGCTCTTTTTCGACTTCTAGTGAACGACCCTGCTCCCATTCCTCACCCCCACCCCGTCCACGGTAGCTACCACTGGACCTTTGAGAGGTGCGTCGATTCGGATATCCGGGATCACAAAAATGGAACGTAGCGCTGATGATTTATGTATAGACTCGTCTCGGCTTCCCTCGTCCCTCTCTGCATTGCTCCCTTCGCCGCCGGCTCTGTGAGCCCCGTCTTGGACGCTGTCATCTGCTCCGCTATTGTCGTTCACTCTCACATCGGTTTCGAGTACGTTCCTGTTACATGGTCGTCTTTTGCCTGAATCAGCCAGGAAGCTAACCCTCGCCTTTTAGCGCCTCTATCACTGATTACTTCCCTGTCCGCCGTGTGCCCAAGACTGCCGCATTCATGAAGTGGCTGCTACGTGCCTTCACGCTCGGCACAGCCGTTGGTTTGTACGAGTTCGAGACGAACGATGTTGGTGTGACGGAGGCTATCCGCAGGGTGTGGAAGGCATAAATTCAGGGTGGTGTTCGTGTTTGATGTTTGTTCTGTTTAAGGCGTTTTTGCCTATGTATATGCTGTCTTCTTTTTTCTGGTAGACGCCAGTACTGGAATCCTTACTACCCTGGAGCATAAAATGAGTGTCTCGTGTATGTGACTGATCTGGTTTGAGATTGTTCTAATTATTTCCCTTTTCTCTTCACCCGTAACTCTCTCTCTATTGTTATCTCGACGCCCAGCGCAAGATTCAAATGTATGGCCCAGTCAATGTAGGGCAAGTAAATAAGTCACGTAGATATCTCGAAAATGTGTGTTCCTCTTTCAATCACCACCAAATCCGGCTGGTCCAAACAGCCGATGATGACCCTTTCCACCGTACCAACTTACTCCTCCTCATCCTCTAACAAATCCTCCTCCCCACCGGACAAGCGATCATCATCATCCGCCTTGGCCACCACCCTCTCCATCAACTGCAACGCCGACCGCAACGGCAACCCCACCACATTATCCCAGCTCCCGTCGATCTTCTCGACCAAGATCGACCCCAACCCTTGCAACCCGTACCCGCCGGCCTTATCCGCGCCCTCCCTCGTGCGCACATACGCCCACAGCAACTCATCCGTGACGCCCTGGTCGAACTTGACGTCCGTCTCCTCCAGCGCGGTCTCCAGCGCATACCCGGGGTCGCGGGCGCTGACGAGCGGCGCCATGGCGCACATGGCCGTGTAGACCTTGTGCTCGCCGACGTCGCGCAGGGCCTTCAGCATGGCGAAGTGGTCAGCCTCGGAGCGGGGCTTCTCGAGGATACGGCCCGACGCCGTGTCGGCGATGATCGTGTCCGCCGCCAGGATCAGGCCCGGCTCCCCCTTCGCCTCGTTCAGGATCTCCTGCCGGTACACCGCCTGCGCCTTCTCCGTCGCCGTTGCCAGCACGTACTCGAATGGCTCCATTGTCTTCGGGAAGTCCTCCGGCGTGTTTGATGGGATGATCTCCAGGTTCGGCAGCCCCAGCTGCGACAGGATCTGGCGCCGCCGCGGCGACGCCGACGCCAGGATGACGCGCTGGCTGCGCAGGTGGTTGAGGATGGGCAGAGCGAGCGGCGGCGGTCGCGGCAGCATCGACATGCGTTTTGTCCCGGCGGTGGTGCTGATCGCGCTGGAGGTGGTGTCGTCGTAGGCCGGCGGCGGGTCCGTCGGGTCCGTTGGGTTGTGGAGGAGGGATTGTTTGCTGTCCGACATTATTGGCTCGCCTCTTTGGCGGGTTTGGAGGGGGGGGAGGTGGGTGGTATGGTGTTTATATTCGCGATCAAAGGTAGGGGAGTAGAAGAGGACTGAAGGGAGTATTAGTGTGTAGATGGATTTCCAAGTTGGCTGAGCGTTTCCCGCATTCGGACGAATTTTGAGGCTTTTGGTCATCGGGATCGTTCCATCTAGGCGGTCAATCACGGCAGATGGGAGGGGGAGGGTGTGGGCATCTATCAATTAGTCAATGCAGGGAACAGGCAAGGGGTTGGCCGTCTGGGCTGCTGTCCCACTTAGGTTGTGTCACACCTGAATGCGATCTCCCATGCTGCGTAGTATTGTAAATGGATGCATCATTGTGTTCATGGAGAGTTCTCGTTTTCACTGGTGTTGCTCTTGTAAATTGATCAAATTCGCTCTGAATTGCACTAGGGACATATAATGGTCGCTGCAATCTGTTGACCCGCAACAGAACAGCTGGATCCTCAGGGAAATACGGAGTACCCTTCAGAGAATGCCACATGAAACCCACCGATTCTCTGCGATCCGCAGCGTCAATGCCCTACACAAAGCCAACCTAGGAATCAATCTTGACGCCGAACACCATACAATTCGACGCCATGAAGAAGCGTCGTGTGTGATAATAGACCCCAGTAGGCGCAACCAAACCGTGAAGCGCCGGACAGAAAGGCTGTGCAACCAGCCAAGTTCTCGTATAGCATCACACCGGAACATTGAGCAAACTAGCAGTGCCAGACTGCACCTTCCTCTCCTCGGTGTTCAGCTTCTGATATGCCCCAAAGCTGAAGCTGCTTCATATCTCCCAATCATGCCGCTTCTCCCCTCCCCCGTATAGTCATCGTAATCATCATCGTCATCAATAGTCGCATCGCTCATATACAGTCAGTCGACCACCTCAGTCAAACCCGAAAGGCATCGTCAATATGCCCGCCCCGGCGTTCAATCTCCGCCACCAACTCCTGTCGCTCCTGGAGCTGTAGCTGGATGAAATCCACCGTCTTCCGAAGCACGATACTCTCACTGCGCCCCTGCCCCTCCAGGCCAGGGACCAGCTCCGTCAAACGATCGAACCCTTCCCGAATCGCGGCGCGGCGCTTCTGCTCCGAGGCGATGTGATTGTTCTTTTTCTCTTGTTCCGTCAGTCGCGGTTTCTCCTTCTCCTGTGCGCCAGCAGCGCTGGGTTTGGATGCAGAGGTGCCGGTTGGGGTGGTGGAAGGCGACCGGTCCTCGGGTTCATCGTGAGGTACCGTTGCGCCGCTGCTGTTCGGTAAGGGGGAGTAGGAGGTTTCGGAGGAGCTGGATGCCAGGGAGGCAGGTGGGCGTACAGATGGCATAGTGGTGGGGTGGGGGGTTATGCGTTCCTTAGGGTTCAAAGGGGTTTAGTTTCTTTCTTTCTTTCCCCCCCCTTTTCCCTTCTTGTTTCAGCTGTGGTATAGGTTTCAAATGTCTGATGTCTGAGATTGGTGTAGGAGAGTTATATGCGATTTGTTGTTTGTTGTCCTGAGTTTCGTGGGGAAAGGAGATTATCATGTGCGTGTGCGGGTGAGTCGGATTTTCATGTGACGGACGGCCGGACTGGGGGCGGTTGTGGCTTGGCTGCGACGGAAGACAGACAGTACCCGTGGGGAAGTATAGAGACTAGTGAAGATGGGGTTGGTGTGAACTCGGCCTTTCGTATGTGAGACGGATCCGATTGAGGATTTAGGTTCTCGTGAAGAGAGATCGATGTCTCTGGTGATGTGCCAGGGGTAAATTACTATGAACCTGGACCAGCGGAGGAAAGAGAGAAGAAAGACCCAACATTTGGGTGGGTGGTTCGTTCCTCAGGCACCAGCCGGTGATGTGCCTGGCTGGCCTGGAACCAGCCCTGGGCTATTCTTCGGCCGGCGGCAGAACGCCAACTGGCCAATTGTTCCGGATGTCTCCACGGGCAGCCGATAAACGTCATCGATCGTTCAGGTTGCTTCTAGATCAACTGTGGACTTCACCATGCCACCCTCTCAGAGCCCCTCAATACATGCCTATTTCTTCAAGGCTTACCCCCGTCGCCCAGCGCATCAGCATTTCTTGTTCTGCTTGCCATCAACCCTATCACATTGACTGCGAACCCTGCAGCAATTGATCTGGGCTGGTTGAACCCCAAATTCCTCGCTATATGACCTCATACTCGCGCTACGGTCTCAACGTGAAAGCTTCTACAATCAGATAGAGCTAATCAACGGCGCACACGGCTTCAGCAGCCATGACTGAGCACGTACCACTACGCGGATCTTGCCAATGCGGCCGCAATCAATATCTGATTCGTCTGCCTGATGATGTTACCGACCATGCCCACGTCTACTTTGACTCCAGTCAAGACAACCGTAAGTTTTCCCGGTCTGCGTCGGTGCGCTGGCTTTATTCTGTGCCGCCTCAGATGTCGTGATAGTTTCTCGGTGGAATAGATACTGACATCGTTCCAGGTAGATTCCAGGGCTCACCGTTGACGGCATGGCTTCGCGTTCCGTTATCTTGGTACCAATCCCACACGCAATCCTATTTTCCCGATGAAACACATGCAAGTATCCGACGCATCTTCTCCCCGCACCATGCACCCCACACTCAGCGGGTCTTCTGCGGATTCTGCGGCACCCCACTTACATACTGGAGCGAGGTGCCCCGGGATGAGGCGGATTTCATGAGTGTGTCTCTGGGTAGTCTTTTCGGCGAACATCAACGTAAGCTGGAGGATCTGGATCTACTTCCCCCGGTTGTCCCTTCTTCAGATGAGGAGGAGGAGGAGGAGGAGGAGGAGGAGGAGGCTGAAGCAGAGCAGGAACCCGAATCTGAAGGCAAGGTGGTTGCTGTTCCGGCGGCAGCGTCCAGTGACCCTCCCACTCCGTCACGTGTAGTCATTCCCGCTGCTGCGGGGGGCGACGGGTCTGGTCTCTCACGGAGCTACAGGCAAGGCACTTTCGGTGGGATACCGTGGTTCGAGGAAATGATCGAAGGTAGCCAGCTGGGCCGCTTGATGAAGACGAGACGCGGGGTGGGTGTTAGCGACGACCACTCAACGACCGTCGAGTGGGAAATTAGCGAGTGGTCGAGCGATGCGACTGGTGCGCAGAGGCCGACTGGCGTCGGTTTGCCCCTTCAGGCGGGCAAAAGGAAACGCGGTCTATAGATCCTGCAACAGAGAAAACTACTTTACCTTAACTGCAATAGCTCAAGGTAGTAAATGAGTGTTTTTGTTGACATTCCTGGTTTATATGAGATTCAGAATATGCAGCAAGAGCTTGGAGCAGACGTCCACATCAACAGAGTGTTTGCTGGAAAGCCTCCTGTGGTCAATTCAAGCCTTAACAACCCTAGTACTACTTCGATCTTGCGTTGTTTTAGGATACAGAGAAGTCGTCTTGAATAGCTGTAGTGCCTGCCAAGCACAGCTCCCGTTATGCCCTATAAGGTCCCTGGGTCAAAGAGCTACATCGCTGAACAGCACTATAGCATAGACAAAGCATAATGCACCCTTACAGCACTGATAGATTCATTGGAATGATCTGAAATGCTCTGCAATGCCTGCTCTGTGCCTCAGGCGCCCAGGCTTCGACCTCGCGCGTTTCCTAATTGGGTAACGGGCTGTTTCTGAGTACAACACAGTGAAGAAGCTTGTTCTGTCTCTCACCTGGTAACCTTAGCAATCATAATCTCTTCTTCTCTTCATCTTCATCCTTCTGCATCCCCTTCATCCGAGGTTCTCCAAAAGACCTACCATCCTACCCTGCTACCATTCGTGAAACACATATCGAACAAAACCCTCCTTTGACTTGAAGCCTCTCTCTGGTGAGTGCACTGTATCTCTCAAAAGTTGATTGCACGCGTCTAGCGTGAGAGTTCGTAACTCTCGGGTGTTTTCAAAAAGTGATCTCTGTCAGTCATGCTCTGCATCTCGTTCTTGAAGTCATTCATCATAATATCAGGTAGATGCTAACCCTGAGTCCGGTATAGAGTAACAGCCAAATCAGAATCCAGGAGGAGGCTTCCCGCCTTGACAAGACCGGAACGAAGAACTGGTGTCTCCACTGTGCTTTGGCTCTGGGATTGACATATGTGCACCATGTTTAACCCAAGGTCCCTACGGGGCTCCCACCCCTATGACACATGCTCACCAACGCCGGCTGTATATCACAGGCTCATGACATTGCATCCAACAAATAAACTGATAGACACCAAGTCTGTGTCAACACTTGTGCTTCCCAGTGTATCAGGAGAAGATCAAGACACAACGAGAGCTCGGTTTTGTCCGAGTCCGCCTGCTTCTGTTTTCGAGGACAGCCGGGTTCCATTTTTCGCTGGGTTTTCAGAAGATTTAACTGTGCAGCGTGACGTTATACGTCCAGTTATTCTTTCAGAATCTCCTAATTGGATAGTGTATGACACTCAGGAAGCACACGGTCATACAACCCCCAGTTTTTCGCATTGGAAGGATGCGTCGCAGTCTGACTCAAGGCCAGACATACTGAGGGCAGTCTCAGACCCGCGGACTAAGGTTCAGAAGAACGTTTGCAACACTCCTCCCAGATCTCCTGCGAAGAAGAGTCTGCGTCAAAGCCTAGGCTCTTATGTCAGCAAGTTGCGAAGAAGAGGTCAATCGATCAAGAAAATCAAGGTCAGTTACTGGAGGATGTGATGGGAAACAAGCAACTAACAGGATGATTTAGGGACATTATCCGAGATGCACCGGTAGGATCTCAAAGCACGGAAAATTGCCATTGCCGCATCGTTCGGTTTTGCTCCCAGTCTCAAACGTATGTAGAAGCTATATGTAGGGCTTTTTGAGAAACTGTCACTGACGAGATCCAGTCAAATCAAGCTTCTGGACTTGAACAAGGACATTCTAGGCAGTCGGTCAGCAGTGACCTAAACGTGACTGCATTGTCGCCCGGGGGCCCAGTGCAGAGGAACCGCCAGACAGTGGATTCAAGCAGAGGGGGCAGCGTGCGCTCCTCCCTGTTAGCTTTTTGGGACTGGCTTGTTTATGCGCCTGAGAACACGACCCTAATCCCCACGCAGCAACACGAAAGTGAGAAACACGCAAGATATCCCACCTCTCAAACACCTTCTTCTGCTTCATCTTCTCACCATCTCACTCCTCCTTGTCCTCCTAAACTCAAGACTTTCACCACCGCTACTTCGCTGTCAAAAGACAAACAGACCCCTACACCTCCGCTTTCACCAGAAAAAGCTTCCATTGTATCTCCCCAGAGAATCATCCCACTCTCCGGCTTTTCTGCAAGGGAAAATCCTCTATACCACCGTAAGACAAACCTTCACAGGATGGCTGCCGACAAGCTTTCTGTCCAGGATTCCTTCCAGGAACCCCGAACTCCTGAAAGAAGTTACACTGGGCCATCTGGCACTACCCTCAGTAAAGGCATGAAAGGTGAGCTCTTTATCTCAGTAGCTTCATTCGCTGCCTTAGACCCAAGTGTTGTGTTTATAACTCAGAGGACTCTATGACTGTGCCGCAATACTATTACCCTTCACGCTTTTATCCTAACTACACCATGTCATTTTCATGCTAACTGGCCTTCCTTTTGATAGATGCATCTAAAATTGCACCATCCATGAAAGATTTATCCATGGAGAGTAAATCAGAACGTCCATGCGGAAACGTCAACCATGGTAAGTGGACTATATCGCATTCACATGGCAATCTGACTGATCACCACAGACGATGAAGAAAACTTGTTGCTCTCTCAGAGATCTCAGGTCTCGGCCTCTCGCTCTACCTCATGTTCCATCGACAGTAACAAGCGCTCTCGGATCCCGATGGCTACTTACCACCTCAGAACACCGGCAGGGCCATTTCCACTGGAAAGAGAGATGCAGACTCCCAGCACACAGCGCAGTGCAAAACCTGTGCCGGTTCAAAAACGCAGTGCACCGTCTCCTGCTCGTGCCTATGAAGCCACACTTACAGAGCCATATACCGGAAAAGCTCCTTTTGTTAAGGCTCCTTCCACTCTTAGTACCCAGTCATCAGAGGGATTGTTAGGTGCTACTACGTCCAATGTCGTTCCTGCTACTGGGAGAGAGCATACTCTATCTACCTACTCGTCTGATGATGATTGGAATATCGATGAGGAGACTCCGAAGCCACGACGTACCGTCTATACCGGCGAGTATCGTACCCCTGTGGCCGAAAGAACTGCCCAGCGCATCCATGGTCCAAGACTGAGAATCTCTTCATCCGCAGATGAGGTGTTGAGAGGTACAGGATCACAATCTGTTGGATACACATCAGGCCAGGGCTGCTCTGACTCTTGGAGAGATCCAATCTATTGACAAGTCATCCTCATTTGAAAGAGGACAAGATGGCATTGGTGATACTCCGGGCAATTGTCGTCACCCCGTCAATTCGAAGGAGCAAGAAGGTTTCGAGTCATGCTTGGAAACTCAAGGGTTGGGCAAAGAAACCGAGGCCTATGAAGGTAAATCAGCGGCTGCAGCCCCGAAGAGCGTGCTGTCAGGGCAGATCCGGTCACAGGCTTCGGTGACCAAAGCTTCTCCTCTCGAATTGCAAATAAATGACAATCTGCTTCCCATTGCATCTCCATGTTTGGAGAAGGGACAAGATCAGACTCCGCCCAGTAATGAAAGTCATCACGATACTCAGCACATTGCGGACTCTCACATCGGTTCTACAGTTGAATCTTTCAGAGTTCAAAGAACCGGTCTTCACTCACACCCCGTCAGATCATCATCAGTGGAGGCGATGTACGAGTTCCCAGTCCAGGGCACTGATCCTCTCAAATCGAACCCTTCAAATGAAACTGATCAAGCTGCGACATTCGAGAATATTGAGAACCCGAGGACCTATATCGACGTAAGGGTACAAAATCCTGCCCCGCGCAGCGAGAGGAAGACTTTCAGTATTCGAAACATGTTCAAGCCTCGCGCTGGTGCTGACAAAGAGCTCATAAATCCCGACAATGGTGGCAGCACTCAAAAGACCCCAGTAACTGCGAAGCCAATTCGAAAGGCCGTGAGTAGCAAGAATCTTGGCACAGCCATGAAGCCATCGGGTCTTGGATGGAGCATAACTCATTCAGGCAAGACTCGCACCGGTCAAATCTCGAGTCCGATACAGATACCTCCCGAGCAGCTTCCTGCTGGCTATAAGCCACTCCCTGGTCCTAGCGCCCCTAATTTGGTGAACGTGGAACGAACTTTGCCTACGAATACCACGGTCCACACGCCCACGGCCGCTGGGTCCCGATCACGCAGACACGTTGTCACATCTTCTAGCGGAAGCCCTTACCTTGCCAGACAAGCGTCGGAACTTTCAAGCAAGTCTGTCCTGACCGCAGCTTCTCCTTCGAGAATCCCTGTTCTGGTCCACACTGGTGTTCAAACGGAGAACAGGCTTGTCAAGCAACGTGTCGGAGTTCACGATGGAGTACTTGATCACTTCATCAAGAAGTACGGTGGGGGGGCTATGACCCCCCCCCAGCGGGACACTTTCTTGCGGGTAGGCCTTAACAAATGAAGATATCACTGAATGATCACGTAGCTGACCAAATAATTCCTAGGCGGCTGTAGCCCTGATACAGCACCTTGAGGGCGTCGGGGCTGCCCAGAAAGCCCTGGGCGAGGCGATTGCCTCGAAAGACAAGAGGCAGTCAGAGAAGGAGGCTGCTGAGGAAGCCCTTGAGCTGTTGTACGAGCAGCTCGGGGGCTTCCTCAGCTAGCCTTCTAGCTGACTGCCTCTTGTCTTTCGAGGTGGAAAAAAAAAACAAAAAAAGTTTGAAAATTATAAAAACCACAAAAAACATGAAAACAAAAAATGTACATATTCTTAATGAAACTTGTCTGAGTATTTCACTTGCTGCCTTACATTTCTAGATTGTAAACTGATGATGAAATGGAGCAAACACCTTTGAGGGACTAGTCACTCAGCTTTTACTGAGGCGTTGCTGAAGCTCCAGAGTGTAGACAAATACAGCTCAAGGCCATTGTCACTGGCAGCCTACGGCGACGAAAGTTCCTTCCCCAGAACACTTCTGAAGCTCAGGTAGTCGCTCTGGAGACTCTAGCCTCTAGCAACCTTTTGCTCTATCTGCTCTCTGTAGCCGTCTTCTCGTGTTGCAAATATTTCTTTCATTCGTCTACTCCCATTGCTCTTATCACTTTGAATCATGAATTATACGCACCTGGAGCTTTCGCCCAGCCAGGTAAGGCATTTCACTTGACCAATCTACTTCTGATTCTCATTGAAAAAAAGACGAAGATGATCTGAAAATGCTCACTGATGGTAAATCCTCAAAGCTTGACCCTGCAGTGGTTTCGTTTTCTCGCCAATCCAATCATTGGGAGGGGCCTAGATTGGCTCCACCAGCCCATGGCCTTCCACCGGCTGCTTTGCCTGCACGCTTTCCGGGCGCCTTGACACCAGCTATTGTATCCTTTCCGCCAACTATATCGCCTAGGACCCTTCCTCCAGCTATATTGCCTGAGCACTATCAGCCGTCTGCAGCGCCTGGTGATTACTTTCCACCAACTGTATCGTCTGGATATCTTCCAAGCGGGCAGGTCATCTCGCCAACCCCGAGTCAAATACACCCAAATGTCACGCGACCGACACTCATGCAAACAGAATTCTATCCACAGATGGAGATGGATCGTGTAAGTAGACAGCTCTTAGAGCAAGACCGCTCGTCATGTCAACAACATACAGTAAGCAGGGCCAAAACCCTCCTGTTTGAAGTTTGTTGGTGATAACGCAAGTCAACGATTTAGGCCCATGCGACGTCCTACCTTGCTCCACGGCATATTCTGCCACTACAATTCGCTTCAGCCCCGAATACACACCGATTGCCCGTGCAGAACTACCAGCAGTGCTGTTCAACTGAAGTAACTTCTCAACCTGGAATGTTGAGATCACCATACCTATGCCTACCACAACGCCCAGAATCACGACAGCTCCCAGGCCCGAGTGAGGGTGCCCCACGCCATATTCAGGATTGTTGGAAAGCGGGTGGCGAGAACAAGAAGCGTACGACATTCTACTACTCTACTCTTCGCCCTGAAGCACCCGAGTTTATACCCAATCGCATGAGACGCAGCCACCTGTTTGTACCTCAGCCGCCTCATACTTTCATTAACCCTCCTCACCTTCAAGGCAACAACAGCCATGCCCTGAAATCGAATCAGGGATCTCGCAATCATACACCTAGAGTTTTCCATTACCCTTTCATTGTATGAGAGGAGAAATCTGTCGCGAGCTTCTCAGACTCACATAGACCGGAGATGTCAGCACGGTGTTGCGAGAAAGTCAACATAGATGAGAGCGGTAGCCGGTCATGGCTTGAATTGCTCCCCGCGAACGCGAATACACAATGGAACTTATCTTTCCCATGGTATTGGCAATGTGCTGTGGTCTTAGCCTTGGTGCATAGCTAGGAGGTATTCCTGCTTGTGTTTTATTGCTTGCTTGTGTGGTTACAGCTATCATTCCCTTGGTAGATAGAAGCATACCCGGTCAGTTCATAGAACGATAGGGCTGACGCTGATTATTCCGCGCCTTAGCCATTACATCATCAGCTAACATCATCAGCTAAGCAGTTGTCATTCGAAGAATAAATACCTAAGTGGACTTTCTTTACATAGGGTAGAATCAAAGTTTTATTAAGCAGCACACGGCCGATGTTGACCTTACAAAATCATAAGAGCGACGTATAATGAACGGAATCAGCATGTGCCACTGCGATGCGCATTCACCAGGGCATCTCGCAAGGCATACTCGATCAGGTGAGCCGGACCCCACGTGGAGTCGGGAAGCTGCCCACGCCTGAGGCACCCGCCCACCCGGCGTACTACATACACCTCTTTATCTCCCACGGCCGTGTTCCTCCCAACCAATATCAGCGTGGTTGGACGAGAAAGATCTCCGGTAGGACATGCACCGGCTCTTGGATGGACTAACCCTAGCATAGTTTTACTTTCACAGCCTCGTTCTGAGCTCAAACGTTGGAAAGTCGCGGTGCTCAAGCCGTTCTTCGCATTGCTTACCCGTTCGAGTTGCCTCCATTCTGGGCTTGGCTTTCCTTATCCGACTGGGTCCATCTTTCTATCGCATGTTGCCCCCAGCATAGCACGATCGACCAGCCGCTTCTGCACGCTGCGCCTGTTTCAAGATGGTCTTCTGCGGCAAGCCAAGCAAAGGCTGCGGGGAGTGCCGCTCTCGCAAGATCCGGTGCGATCAGGCGCGGCCAACCTGCTCCCAGTGCGCCAAGGGCAACCGGGTCTGCCCCGGATACCGAGACGAATTGTCCTTAATGTTCCGCGATGAGAGTCAACAGGTCGTTCGGAAGGCACGGACCTGGACCTCAGCGCGCAAGACTAAACCAGCCAATAAATCCGGCTCTAGTGGCCGGTCTGAGACTCCCTCTGGGGGTAGCAGTGGAACTACTAGTAATAGCCCCGGTGCCGCATCGGAATCCAGTAACATTGGGGACTTCAATGAGAATACAGGCTTACAACGAGAGCTTGTCACTCAGCGTCCTCTCGAGCTACAGCCTTCGTATCAACCCACCAAGAATGAAGCCATCTGCTTCTTTCTGAGCCAGAATAATTGGATTGGAAGCATCTGGATGAGGCCAGACTCTGCCACAGAATTTATCCTCGATTTACGGTCCTCACCCAGTCAGCAAGCTATGATAGCTAGTATGACTTCTGCAGGAATGGCCATGCTCGCTCGCGCCAGGCGATCCACTCCCCTAAGGATTACCTCGGAGAAAGAGTACGGACAAGCGTTACAGCTGCTTACTTCTGCTGTCACCGATGAGAAAGAGGCTAGGGAAAATTCTACCCTGGCCGCTGTTATACTTCTAGCGATATTTGAGGTGCGTTTGACTTTAGGGTACTTCCCCGTTCGCACTCACAGCGTCTGATTGCAGAACAGGTTGTCTCTAGTAGAGCCCCGCAGAATCTCGACAACTGGACAAATCATATTTCTGGGGCTGCTGCACTCTTGGAGTTGAGAGGCGTGGAACAACTTCAGAAAGCTGAAGGGTTAAAGTTGTTCTTACAACTAAGATATCAGATTGTATGTTGAACGATTCCAGTATTGCCCCCTCCCTCCGCAGGCCTGACTGACGAGTGTGTCAAGATTATCAGCTGCTTGCAACGAGAGGCTCGAGTGCCGCAGTCAGTCCTTGACTGCGCAAGGGTGGCCCAATTTCTGCGGCCCCAGACCGAAGCTTATAGCGACCGATTGATCAGTATAAGTGGCCGACTGGCCAATCTCCGGGCAGATATACGTGATAAAGTCATCACCGACCATCAGGAGATCTTGTCCACTGTTTATAGCATTGAAGGCGAGTTGATGGCATGGCTTGCGGCTCTGCCGCCTCGATTTCTGTATACCACCATCGAAAGCCCCTGGCCTACCCAATCCGATTGGGGTTTCAATTCGTACAATAACCGATTTCACGTGTACCAAGACCTATGGCTCTGTCACGCGTGGAACCAATATCGCTGTGCCCGGATTATGATCAGCGAATACATCCTCACATACACATATCGACTGAAAACCAATACGACTCTCACTCCCGATCTAGCTAGTCATCTCGCGCAAGTTCGCGACAAGGCTAGACAGTTGGCTCTCGATATATGCGCCAGTGTGCCGTATCACTTTAGCGCCGACCTCGTTACCGGCGAGGCTACTACATTCAAGACGGTGACATTGGAATATGGCTTCATCCGTGGCATGATTCTTCTGTGGCCCTTATTTCTTGCTGGCGCTACTGAGCCGAAGGGTCATTCCCTACGCAAATGGGTGGTTGATTGTCTAGCGCTTATTGGTAACCGCCTGGGCATCGATCAGGCTCTGGCCCTGATTGATATCTTGGAAATCGGCGAGACGTTCGATGTCCTCGGGCAGACGGACGATGAACGTATTCATGAAAGGGTGACAGCACTCCACTGAGACGCTTCTAGAGATGGAGGGGTCTCGACCCTTTGATACGATTTGATACCTAGTGTATATCTATGAACATAAATAATCTACTTGTCAATAGCGATGAATGTATAGCGATTTATATAAATGTACGCCAATCTAGCCACATGTGCACGGCTTACTAATATGGATTCGCTAGCGAAAACCCACATAGTGATGCAATCATAATCTTATATAAGGACCCATCTCGGTCTTCGTTATCCGTTGCATAAACCGAGGTTTGGGATGAGGCAATGCCGATATGCAACACGGGTAATCCATTAGACTATTTGACTGCGGTTTTGTGGGCCCCCGGGGTATCCCGCGACTAGTACGGAGTAGGCTGTGCACTGCCTTCCACCATCCGGTCTTCCGATAGTGTATGGGTTTGCAGCAAACAGCATCCATCAGCCTTACAGCCTCCCTATCAACCCTCATACAGTACATGCCAATGCAGCCCTGTAGCCTTCGCATCTCACTATCACGCCTTGTGGAGCTCATGGCCAACAGGAAAGAGCTATGCAGCCATGTTGATTGAAGATGCTTAAACCTTACATTTCGAGGCAGTGCCGCTGCGTCCACTGCGGCAGGATGTTGGATTTCCGGTGAGGAGATGGAAGTCACGGGATGTTGAAAGGGGGCGGAGTCATTCCTGCCTGAAAGCCTTAGGCTTGTGTTCTTGGAATTAATTGGTTGGAATTGCAGACCATTCAACACTGCAGCGGGGTCGTTACTACTAGGTAGTAGTCCACACGTGGATCTGTTTCCCTGGGGTTTCCCTAGGGTCGAATCATGAGAGAGTCGTACTCATATGGTCTGCAAAAGTAAATTGCGTTTGTGCTATACAACCTGAGGTAATACTGACTGGGATGAAACCCGAGTGTCTGGGTTGAGCCAGTCTGCCTTGACTGCGCCTTCCATGTCTTGCGGACATTTGGTAAACGATAAAAAGGAAAAGTAGGAAATAATGACTACATTTACTCTAATGCCGCGCCCTCACTCTGTGGAGTCGCCTTGCATACACCCTACACACAACGACCTCTGCCCTCAAGGACGCTACTTCTTTGTCTCCCGAAATCCCCGCCTGCTCAACTAGAGGACAAATCTTCGAGCTGGCCGACTACAAGCATCTTTACCCCTCTCAGATGCCACTTTTACGACACCTTCGAGATAAACTTACCCGTCGAGACTCAACCCATCGTCACCAGACCTCGAGTGAACAAACTTACAACAATAGCACCAACATGGGACAAACCCACTCGCATGAGAAGAGACACTCACGAACAGGTTCAGTCAATCGGAGCATAGCGTCCCAATCGAGAAGCATAGGAAAGGCAACTCCAGCATGTCATCAGGACCCATGGTCGCCGCCACCGTACTCCGCTGAACCCACGGTGAGGATGCCCATGCCATCAGCAGCCTCGAGCACCTCATCAGGCGACTCGCCGTATTCATTCCTACGCGAGTTCGACACCATATTTCTTGTTGATGATAGCACATCCATGCGCGGGCGTCGTTGGAAGGAGGCCGAAGATGCCATCGCCGCCATCGCTCCGATCTGCACGCAGTATGACAGGGACGGAATCGACGTGTGGTTCCTCAACCATCGCAGAGATACTGGTCGAAGGGGGCCGGGGTCGTACCCGAACATCACGCTGGCGGACAACGTCCGGGAGATCTTTGGCAGCGTGCATCCCCAGGGTCCGACGCCGTTCGGCCGCCGCTTGATGGATATTCTGGGGCCCTACATCCGTGACCTGGAGAAAAAGGTCGCCGCAAGCGATGGATTCGAGGACTCCACGCAGCTGATCAAGCCCTTGAACATCATTGCCATCACCGATGGAGCGTTCACGGATGACGCGGAAAGCGTCATCGTTAATATGGCCCAGCGACTCGACAAGATCTCGGCCATGCCCTGGCAGGTCGGGATTCAGTTTTTCCAGATCGGCGATGACCCCATTGCGCGGCAGTATCTGCAGGACCTGGACGATGAGCTGGGCAAGATGACACATCAGAAGAACTTGCGCGATATGGTCGACACCGTGCCGTGGCGAGGCGACAAGGGGCAGACCCTGAGTGCAGATGGCATTCTGAAGTGCGTGCTGGGTGCAGTGAACCGGAAATATGATAAGCGGGACGGGCATCATTGATTACGATTGCTTCAGGGTGATCGTTGTTTTTATTGTTGTTGCTATTCATATCCACTGCCACTGCCTTCTCTCCCACTCCTGCGACATCTCGTTGCCTTATTTTCCCCCTCTTCTCTCTTTGCGTGTTTCACCTCTGTTGCTCTGATGCAGGTGTATGATCAGTGGTGACTTTTCGCCTTGGCTTCAGTCCTTGATCATGTTCTAATGAGCATGGGCTTCATAGATGAAACGCGTCGCAGCAAGCGCCCAGTTGCCGCCGTCCGTGTCGGGGGGCTTTGGGTTCCTTGAATTTTGACGGGATGTTGTGGCTGGTCAAATGCTACGACCATACTAAATAAAATAGTGTCTATGCTTACTTTCCCTCCCTGTAATTCCTCTTGTGTAATTCTCCATCCGTAGTTCCTACCTAAATATCATGTAGGCTAGCGTGCAATATACCTCGAGAATGTGTATCATTGGCAGTGTCATTGCACGGATTGCTCGGCTACTCCCACCAAACTGGAACTGAAATGCTCCCACGGCACTGTTTGAAGAACAATTACTGATTGGTGTGAGAGGGCAAGCTTAAGCCGAAACTCGATTCGCTGGCAGTCAAAGCGACCGCAGAGGTTCGAAACTGGCAACGACCAGCTACAGCTGAGGAGCAAGACAAACACCACCATTTCAGGCCAGTCCAGACTTCAATCTATCTGTTGCTCCGGGGGTTCCCCTTAGAGATCGAAGTCTAGTTGCCCAGCACCCGCGAAATAAACAGACTGACTGGCTGCAGACCTGCAGCAACAACACACTTAAGCGACTAGGATGGTCCGACTGATCTCTTGATTGGCTGACTGGAGTTGACCCCTGGCCTTGGTGTATGGTTCGCAAGCGCGCTGGTCCGGGCGTGAGGTTGGTTTCACCGGCCATGTCCTAGTCTAGTGCCACACGGCCCAAATTCACTTGGCTCTTAAAAGCGCTCAAAAGGGAAGGAAACACGAGGATTATTGATTAGGCCATTGTCAGCTGTTGACACGGAATCCAAAGATCGGTCTGTGACTCTGTATGGTGTACGGAGTAGCTCTGGGTCATTGAGGCCACTCTGCTCCTGGACAGCCGATCGGGGATGGCGCGAGTATCGGAGATATGCAGGAGTCATGCATAAACAATGAGAGGGCGCAGCGCGCAGCAGTCAACAATCGACATATCTAATCCATTCCTGCTAGGTTAGTTACCGGTAATTTTAGTCAACTTTCCCACCTGCGGGCCACTCACGTGGTGTGGAGAAGTCGATCGGCGCGTATTCGTAGGTTTTTCTGGGTCCGCCAGATATGCCTCCTGAGGGGGGTGGTCGCTTCGCTAGAAATCTCTCATCCCGCGATTGATCTCTCGATGGAAGGGGAGACAAGAGGATGATTTGAAAGTGACATAAATAAAGCTTATTTGTTTAACGGAACGGATCGGTACTTGAGGCGAGCAGATGAAGATAAGTTATGGGAATGGAAAAGAAAGACAGGGTCAGCCTCAAAGTGGCTTGTGTCCAGCCACCACCAATCCCAAGTAGTGATCACCACACACCACACACCATTTGGTTAGATTAATTTCCACCCGCTGTCTCCAATCATCAATCATTTTACTCCCAGTCAACCACCACTGCTATCTATCATCTTCGTGCGGTGGCTGGCTACAGTCCCTTTCCTTTTGTTTGTTTTTTTTTGTTTTTTTTGTTTTCTGATCCATCAACTTCCCTTCCTCGGACTTACATCGGTCTCCACCCTTGCGAACTAAGGTACGATACCAGGCACAGCTAACATGCATCCAGCCTAGCTAAACGCCCGTGATCCAGTTGTGTCCACTCGTTCAGAACTCGAGTCCCTTCGAAGCCCACTCTGGTTCGCCAGGAAGGATCAGCATCCTCATCCCAGCAAAACTCTCCTGGGTGGACCACTCATCGCCCAGGAACCATGTTCGGATCTCATCGCGCGTCCTTTTTCTGTCAGCCGGCTGCCATCACGAACTCTCCTCCCTCGCGGCAGAGTTCTCTTGTATGGACGATCACTATCGTGACGTGTTTATATCATCCCTCAGTGGATCCCTGACAAGCGCACCGTCTTGCTACAGGGCTACTAACCTGCCGAAACCTGATTTTCTCTCTGTTCCTGTACGGAGTACACCACCTATAATAACCGTTGGCGTTCAGGTCACGCTCGAAGTGTACACATACGCGCGATCGAGTTGATGGTGGTTTGTTATACCTTTCTCCTCTCTTGGGCTTCAATTCCGGCTTTCTAACCCTCATCGACCCGCCTGGACCAACGTGTGAGATTTGTGTGAGAGAAGTACTGCTCGAAACGTCCGGCTCCTGCAGCAGGCGCTGAAAATACCCTTTTCCGCCTGTCATTGTTCTTCCTCGTCCAGGTAGTCCGCCCTGTCGGCGCTTCCGACCTGCCATTCCTCCAGCATCATTGGCCTGGTATATCCTTCCGAATCTCTCGGCCAGGAACGTCCAAATTTTAACTCCCGCAGCCCCGCGGCTAATGATTCACTGATCTACCATTTCTCTCGCACATTGTTGGTGTTCAGCTTTCTCTCTGTTGTTATGGCACAGTAGTCACTGTCAAGCCGCAGCTCTCAGCTTCCGACTCTTATATCGCACTAGGGAACTGCGTGGCAGGACATCGCCGGTGGGATTTATTCCTCCTGACATTCCACATCAGGACACAGCCTGACTAGGCTTTCTGCCAAACGCCCTTCATTTGCCTTGTCTCTACTTTCACTCACTTTATTCCAAGCTGGTCTTGGGATAACATTCATTGCATTCCTTTCCATCGACGCATTTGCTTAGCACCTCGTGTTCAGTCCAGCCGACACAAAATCTCCCGAAGTTCAGACTAGTATTCAAAGCTCATACCTTCCTTGTGTCATTTCTCAAACCTTATATATACACCCATCGCAATCATGACTTCGACAACCT